GGTCTTCTAGAATGAGGGGTGGGGGGGGGTTCTTCTGTGACTTCTGCTTTAGGGACATTGAAGAAACCCAAACAGACCTGCTGTATCTTACTGTATGTTACTGTAAGTGTAATAGGGATATAATATCATTATTACATATTAAGCATGCAGTATAATAGGACCTGCACACCTACAGAATCCAGGCTTAGTTTTCCTGTTATGGTGTTTAGGGGAATGAGACTTAATGTAAAGCGACCAAAACTGGTCTGCTGCCACCATTACACCACCTGAAATACATGTACCTCATCCTCGATATCCAGGGGTTACGCTCACCTACGCTCTCTTTTTATTCAGCGGTATCTCCCTAGACACCCTTCGCCATATGACCCTGGCAGTTGCAAGGACATTTAACGCCAATAAACATATATAGCATCGTCAATAATTAGCTTGCGGTGCTTGATTTGTGTTGTACTTGTGAGCTCCAGGTAATGATTAAACAAGGGTTGGCGGCATACACAATTGTGTCCAGGAGTGGTATATGTTTATTGGTTTATATATATATATCTGTCGTATCTATAACCTTCAAACTATCTGCCATCTTGTATCTTCTCCACCCTCTTTCTCCTTATTTCTCCCCTCTCTATATTTATCGTACCTTTGTAATCATACTCTTGGCTTCATCAATCACTGCTTCTCTGCATCTCCGACCGATTGTTTATAATGAAAATACACAACTTACAACAAGAGACACTGCAGACACATTATGAAGAGAAACTGGCTACTAAGAGACTGTCCAAAAGAATGCTATTTATGTATTCACTGGAAAAAAATAGCACAATAATTAAGGAACCAGATCCCTGCCATTGCATGGATATACATTTAATTTTCTCACATTTTGATTAGAAATTGATATTAAATATGGCATGATTGGAAAAAATATATATAAAATTGTATTTTTTATGCTTAGGTCAAGTACATGTCTGATATAAGAGAAATGCAACGGCCAGACCGGGGTTCGAACAGGGACCCTCCGAGCTCTAGATCGACGCTCTACCAACTAAGCTTTTCGGTTGCCAAAGATCGACCCTGTCTATACCGTTCTGCTACAAATGAATAGACATAAATCATCTAAACTAATTTTTCAGCTTAAAACTATTTCAGACAGTATATATCGACGCATAAAATGGCTGCAATTCCAAGCACACTGTAAGACGTTTAAATGAATTGTGAACATTTTCACTCTAGTTGATGGTATGTAGCTGGTAGTTGTCAAGAAACAAACCTCTGTATATTAAAACCCTTCTGCTTTAAGCAAAAGGTAAATACCATGCATACTAAAAGTGATTAAGTCCCAGTTATTGGTAAACATCCCATTAACAAAGCACTAAAGTGAAAGTTATATGCTTTTTGACACAACATCATAAATGTGTCGGCTCCCGAGAGATTGAAATCCATATAGCAGTAATCAGGTATCCTACAACCTGTAGGTCACATTCGAGTACCTGTATTCTGCAGGTAAAAGGTATGTGTAAGCATATCTTGTCTGTATAATCAACTAATTGGTAGGTAGTGACAGTCAACAGTGATGAATTAACAAGTTTGCATACACCTTTTGTAGTAATCCATTTATTACAACAGCAAACTCAGGTGAAAGGTGGTCATAAGTCAGGTAAACAACAAACACAATGGTCAGTCTCCTGGGGCTGTTTTATATAAGGCTGACCACACCTATATTATGTCACAGCAACCAAGGTCACCTATCACCAAGTGTACCTGGTAATTAACTTGTTGACTCAGATAACAGACTAACAAACCTGGTCAATTAACAGGTAAGGGGTATATCCAGGTACTGTGAAAGAGATGAGGATGTAATTTAATGGGGTGGAACAATAGACCATAAAAACGAGAAGAATAGAAGGGGGAGGGGGGGGGGGGTCATATTAGAGGGACAGAGTCATATAATGGGAGGTAGAGAAGTTTGGAGGTAGGGTCGTGGATGTACAGGGAACCAGGTGATGAGTCACAGATTATAGACAGGGTTACAGGCTAAGGGTTATATGCTGAGGAAGGGGAAGGTAAGGGGTTATATCATTGGGAAGGGGCAGGATAAGGGTGTGAAAGACACATGATGGGGAGGGAATATATCAGGGCCAGAGAAATCAAAGTATGTGTAAGGTGAGGGGTTTTACTGAGGTTGTAGATTTGGGCAATAAGCAATATAAGGGAGGGAGTGATTTGGGTCAAATACAGTATTATATCATGTTGAGATAACTTATCATAAGGCAGGATTATTTTGGAATAGAGTGAAGAATTGGGGAAGGTTTAAGCTTGTGGGGGGGGGGGGGGGGGGGGGGGGGGAGTGGGCTATGTCGACTCTTATCTTCCAAGGATACACCAGGTAAAACATGAATATTATGGAATGTTCTATTTCACCGGTGTAGGGTCCCAGGTTATGTGGAGTAGACATTTAGAATTAGCTCATTAATATACTGAAGATAAGTCAGTAATTGATACTGTTGTTGACTGGTGTCAGAAACATTTCTGTGTGTAGTAAACATAATTTATGGCAGAATCATAAAATCCTGACAACTTCTATCACAAAGGAAGGACATTTTTAAAGCGCAGATCAATTTTACAAGCAATTTTTATTTGCTGCAATAAAAATGTAAAATTATGAAACCCATCTTCAAAATTACCTCAAGTATGGCATTGTATCTCATGGTTAATTTTTTTAATTAAAATTTCACATATCTTATATGTATGTGTTGAATCAAGAAAATATATGTTAATTAGAAATAACATTGCACCTTATTTTTTTTACTTATTATATAAGTAAACTGTAAACACTCTTACAGTGTTTTTTGTTTTACATATAAAACAAATAAACTACTTTTCTGTGAACTATTTTATTACAGACATTATTTTTCCCACAAAAAAAAATATAATTATTTATTTGAAACAGACTATAGGGCAATAATATTATAGCGTATGTTTCAGCAGACGAAATCAGCGTGTGTACGGGCGACAATGATAAGAGAGCACACTCCCCAGCTTAAGTCACTTCTAACGTTTGACATATGTTAGTACACATTTACACACATTACTATTCCATCCTATTCCATAACTGCTTCCAACTTAGACACATCCACCGCCCCGATCCTACTTTCCGCGAACGCAGCAACTTTGTAAACTCGGCTCAGCAAAATATTATTATTATATATGTACACAGTGTGTATTATTATACAGTTATATATACAACACACACACAGTTTTGTAACAATGAAACACACTTACCGTATCTGCTAAAACTATTCCATTCCAAAGAATCAGAATAATTAAAATAGTCCATATACACTTTTGAGGAGGGGATGGTTTCGGAAGTACCATTTTCCTGGATTTCGGAGGAAAGGAATCCAGGGTACCTTTTACGGTACCAAGGAAGACAGGTGCTTTTTCTGTAAAATTCACACTTTTTCCACAATCATGGGGTTTTGTTTTAAACAACTCCAAAAAAAAAGATCTAAAACAACCACAAACTTCCCCTCCCGAGAGAAACTGGTTGCTGTCTATCCAAGGAAATACAGCCGTGTTTCTCCCCTATGGACGTGTAGTCTGCAAGTGAAGTGACTTTCGTTCGAGCTGAGTGACTCCGGTACCCTGTGTATACTCGTCGGTTTCGTTAGCATACCGCCCGCCCCCTGTTCGTCTGTTCTGTGTCAATCACAGCGGCTATAAATAACTAGGCCGTTTTATAGTTTTACCTCTAAACCTCAGGTACTTACTGTGTTAAAATATTCTTAGTCAGAAAAAGACTTTTTAAACACTGGCTTTTTTATGTAGCTTAATAGTGCATAACACTTATAAGAATACAATGGTCGTGTGTTTACTTGTTGGAACAGCCGGGAATTTCCCACATTTCGGAGGGGTGACGAATATATTTTCTGGAGAGTAAGAACATGTTGGAGAAACAGCGTCTTGATAGTTAGGAAACCGACGTGCACACGTACTGCTATCAATCAATGAGATTTTTTTTTATCTTGCAGGTAAACCTACAGGTAATCCCGATTACGTACAGCCGATCAGCTGATCTGTTTGTGGTTTTATTAAAGGGCCTTACCTGTTATTATCCAAGTACTTATTATTCCTTGCCTATCGTTAACCTTTTTGATATTAATCTCGGACGGTGTACTGTGTAGTTAACTTGCTTTAAACCGGGTGAAAAAAATGGAAACATGTATCACATAATTTCCGTGTTATGTAGTGGGAAACAAATCCATGTCATATTTTGGGCAAATTGATATGTGTACATAACATTAGCCCTTCATTTTCACGTCATAATAAAAAGTAACTCATTGAATTGAGTCAATAAATATGATAACATGGCATCATGACGTCACGTCGAATGAAAGACGACAGACATGACATACATAGGTCAAGATGGTGTCTATGACAACAGACATGACGTTCGTCAAGATGGCGACTTGGACTACAGACATGACGTACGTCAAGATGGCGACGATGACGACAGACATGACATACGTCAAGATGGCGACGGGCCCACTTGTATAAAACATCTCAACTCTAGAGATGACAATACATTGCTTGAGATTTTCCTTAACTTTGAGATGTTTTATACAAGTTAGGATACTTGTAAGGTAACACTTTTTCCATGACGACTTGATGTTTGTCATCGAAAAAAAATCCGTGCAATTTGCATACATCTTGATAATGTGATAAAAAGTTTCTTAGTCGTTTTCCTTGAAATGAGATTTATGAACCCCTTCCAACGTTTCTATAGCCTCGCTGAAGTAAAAACTTCTTGATATGTTTCATAATAATGGAAAACGTGTTGAGAAGTAATTAAATGACCTGTCATCCTCGATACTCAAGAGGTTTCGCTCACTTACGCTCTCTGCATGGCTCCTGCGTCCTGAAAAGTCAATGACATATATTTGTCATATCAAGTAACTAAAAAAAAAAGGCCTCATTTTTTGTGGCATCACAGATTATTCATTTATGACGTCACAATTTGGTCACTTAGACATGACATGAGAGATACTAAGTTGAAAATTAGAAAACTTGACCATGATCAGAGAAACAATTGTATTATTTTAAGAATACCAACCCCATTTCGGCTAAAAGAGGTTTACGAGGAGACCAATAACACTTTGCAAAACAATGGCGCCAAATGAGATTGCAACAGAAACAGAAAGTGGAGGTCAGGGCGTTATTAGAGAGGGTTTTATCGTCCACGGTGTTTGCTTTTTTAATGCTGATTCAATCTTTCTTGTGTGAATGTGGTTGTCCGCTTAAAGGAGGCAAGGTATCATATACGTGCATACGTCCATTTAATGGGCTATAGACCAACCGGTATTTTGTAAAGGAAACTTGTGGGACATGTGTCAGTGTTATAATAGACGGTGAAATTTACGCCGATATTATCATGAAAAAGTGTTACCTTACATTATACATAGGGCTCTGACCTGGGCCAAAAGGACAGAATTAATTATGAAAGCTGAATATTATGAGTTTTGTCAGCTGTCGTAGAGTAACTTTCTAGTCCCCTTGGAAGCCAAATGATAAACCGCTACTACTGTCGCCATCGAAGGTAAAATTTCGAGTGTCCCCGATTAAAATAATTAACATAAGATCTGCGGATGTAGAAATAATCACCAAATATACGTTTAGAAGGTTAATGACACTGCACTGTCAGGTCAGTGAGGTTAACCGGTGCATATATGATCACATCAAATTCTTATACTTTAGTAAGTACTCTTCATGACGGTCAGAGCATTTTTTTTATCTCTCAAACTCAATTTCACATGTCAATCAGTACAACCCGAATCGACTTCCCTAACACCACATTATTTTTGGTCATCCTCCAATCGAGAAAGTAAATCAAAACCGATATGTTTCTGTTTTGACGTATTTTGTTATTATAAGTGGTCCGCTAAACAAAAACACTTCGGCACATCACAAATACAAATCTGTAAATGAGCTTTCAAAGGGTGCCATATGTTCTGTCCGGCAACAGCCAAAACACACGAGGAGTAGCGCGAGCTAATGACCACTATCTGCTGTCTGACCGGTGGTCAGTTAAGCTGATTGGCGGTCGATGATAACACTGCTGCTGGTCAATTATGTTCTTCGCTGGACGCTGATGTCCAGATATACTCATTGCCAAGTCCGAGATACGACCGAGGCAGATAAAGATTAAAGGAACCATTAGCACGTCTTCTTTCCCGCCATTATTTCCCTGTATCTGTTATCCATTTCATTCTTCTTATTCTTTCGATACACTTAACATGTCGTAATGTGGACGAACTTTTCGTGTTGTAAATCGCTAAAATACTACATGGTGCTGTCCCTTTTGACGTATTTGCTGTATGTAAGTTGTTTGTTTCCTTGTCTAGTAAATATTTTCAGACTAAAACTCATAAATGAAATAGCATCAGATATCATTTTAACTTCAGTATGGTATGGTGATATATTTCTCCAATCGACTTGCGAGTTACGGAAAATGTAAAAAAAAAAAAATGTCGACATAATTTAAACGTTATTGCGACACATTCTTAGGTTATGTCGATATATTTTAAACGTTATGTCGAGATAAGTGACTCGGCAGTCGGAAGTCGATGGCAGAAATATGCCGCCATACGCAGGTTTGACATTGTGCTTGATTCCTTATACAGGCGACCCATCAAAGCATGGCCACTTTGGGCAGAATATATAGTATTACACTATAATGTATTCCAATTAGTATCTTTCAAATACATTGAAATGTAACGATCAACCTATAGTTTTACTAAACAGACAGCTGGAGAAAAATGATATACATTGTTCTTTCTGATATTCGTTCATTCTGCGTGACGATGTTGGTTTCAAACGGAATTACATAACGAAACCAGAAAAACACACATGAAAACAAGCCGTCGGTCGGTCGAGTACCGTCATTCCTCAATGATTCACCAATGATTTAAGTGGAATCCTTCCCTAATTATAAGTAATATACTTTGCATCAGATTACAAGCATCAGTCATCGAATATTTAAACGATTACTAACCTTTGTTGATCGTCTCAGCCCTGCCGTTGTCTTCCCGTTTCCATTTACTTGACGCTCCGCAAAACTCCGACAGACACGTATTGAAAACGGAACTGTTTCAGTACAGTTTGATCACAAGACGCGCATCCCTATTTTAGCAGACGATCACCATTGGGGTCGAAACCCAATGTTATAGGACATGTTGGATATTGACGAGATACAAATCTTGTGATACCGAACGGAAACCGTTTAGTTTAAACATATTTTATTGCAATATAATTACAAAAGGACTGGACACAAGTTATTGCAACTTATAAACGCGCTTTCCATAATGGTTTACAACATATAAATATAATGCAATTTCTAATACTTCATAAATTAATTTACCACAAACACATACTTTAGAGAGAGAGAGAGAGAGATAGAGAGAGAGAGAGAGAGAGAGAGAGAGAGAGAGAGGAGGAGGAGGAGGAGGGAGAGAGAGATATTTTAGTCTGACTCATTTCATGATTAAAACTATAGATTAAGATAACAAACTTATAACAATGTTATATAACAAACTTATCAAGCTTATAACAATGTTGACCCAGTTGGACTATAAACACATTCATTACGCACTACAAATTGTTCATCTCAATCCTGAAAAACTTTCCTCTTCCGCAACCACGCAGATCCTCTTCGTTTCCGTAGTCTTTCATCTTAATAATACCAGCTGGGCCAACAATGTTACCTTAGCAGTTGAATAAGTGATAGCACAATACTACAGTAACATCGGATAATGAAATTAAAACAATTAAATATATAGCGTTGTGCACTTTTCTTTAAAATCTTTTGCTAGATTTAATGAAATTATGAACGTATAAAAAGACTTCCGAATTTGTATCAAGCGACAAATCTTCATTTCCAAATAAAAGCAAATCTAAATCACATGGTACCTCTAAACTCAAATCATTTACTCGCTGAAAAAGGATGTTTCTTTCAATACNCGAAAACAGTTGGGACCCAGAGAGATTATATTCAAGAACAATAAACACGAAGCAAAGTTTTATTGATTTGACATCATGGGGTTAAATGAAATTTATTTCTTCATGTCTATTTACACTATGTAGGTTTCAAACGGATTGCGTGAAGCCATTGTCGACATGCAGTTCCGATGTCGATAACGCTGCTGGGGAAATGGGAAATAAAATCTGAAAAACGTCGACAGGACATTATACACATATCTATTGTAGCAGACGACCACTGTTGTAGTCGAAACCCAATGTTACCGGACGTGTTGGATATTGGCCGGATACAAGTCTTGTGAAACCGTATATGGAAACAGTTAGGACCCTAAGAGTTTATATTCAAGAACAATAAACACAATGGGTTTTTTATCGGACCAGGATCTTATCTCCTTCCGTGGTTTATTGAGGCAAATCTTTACTGATGTAAAGACCCAGAGAGAAAACGAATTACATTTCTTCGTGTCATTTTACTTTGTTTATTTCAAACGGACCCATTCCTTAGCAGGACGTCAATAGCACTGCTCTCATGAACAAATCCGTTTACCGAACGTAAATAGTCACTGAAACCGTACTGAAACAGTTAAAGAGTTAATAGGTATTGAGCAT